CTTAGAAATTGAAAAGGTGAGATAAAAGTGACATGAGGTAAGGTTTGGAAAGAGAAGAGAGAAAAATCAAATTGGAATCATAATTTTGTTTGTATCGAGTTGAGAACTAACAGGATTTTTGCATTAAGGTGAAGGAAATTATTTTATAAATCCCAGAAGTGTCTGTAACAATTTCCTAAAAAGATGTAAAGAAAGAGACCCCAATTGATATTGTAAAGGAAGGGGGGAAAATGTAAAACAGGGGATAAAGATGTGGTTCCTTTTTGAAGTTCAAGAGGAGACCAAAGAAAGTTATAAAAAATTTTACAGAGTTGCTTTTTTTTTTTTGTGGATTTAATATTAAGAGAGTCACCACCATTTTCATGAGCTTGAAATGGCAGTTTCTGTCATCTGTTAAATTATCCTGAAAGAAAATGGTGCAGGCCTGGCATGGCATAAAGTGTAGTTTATGGATTAGCTTTGCCTTCTAAGTGATTAACTCTGGTACATCCTCAATTTGAAGACAAGAGAATTAAAAATAAAATTTAAAAAATTACGGAAAATTGACAGCTAATGAAAGACACTGTGCTCACACTCTATTAGAAATAGCCGTGGATTGACTTATTGAAAAACAAAACAGAGGGGCTGGCCCTGTGGCTGAGTGGTTAAGTTCCTGTGCTCCAAATTGGTGGCCCAAGTTTCACTGGTTCGGATCCTGGGCGCGGACGTGGCACTGCTCGTCGGGCCATGCTGGGGCGGCATCCCACATGCCACCACTAGAAGGACCCACAACTAAAAATACACAACTATGTACTGGGGGACTTTGGGGAAAAAAAGGGAAAAAATAAAATCTTAAAAAAAAATTAATCACCTCTTCCAAAAACAAAAAAGAAACCAAAACAGAACAACAGAGGCAAAGCAGGGAAATTTACCTTTTCAAGAAAGATGGGAGATTTATGGGAAAGAGATTGTAAATTTTTTTCAAAATTGTCTTGCACAGGCCAACCCGGTGGCACAGTGGTTAAGGGTGCATGGTCCGCTTCTGCGGCCCAGGGTTCGCTGGTTTGGATCCCAGGTGAGGACATGGCACCACTTGGCAAGCCATGCTGAGGTAGGCGTCCCACATATAAAGTAGAGGAAGATGGGCACAGATGTTAGCTCAGGGCCAGTCTTCCTCAGCAAAAAAACCCAGGAGGATTGGCAGCAGATGTTAGGTCAGGGCTAATCTTCCTCAAAAAAAAAAAAAAAAAAAAAAGTCTCGCTCAGTGCTGTAAGCATTTCAAGATGATAGGGATAGAAAGGATAAGAAAGTAGCTAACTAGAGTTGCTATTTCATTGTGATGTGGATAAAAATATTGCTGCCATTAATGCTTTGAATTTAAATACGTTATAAAAGGTCAAAAACAAACAAAACCAGGAAAAGCATTCTTACAGTATAAATATGTCTTAGAATGAATAAAAAAAGCTCCTTTGTAATTAAAAAAGGAATCAAAACGAATCCCTATAAGTTTGCTACAGATGGGCTGTGACAAATCGTGCTGTATGTATGCCCGTGTATGATTGGGTGGGTGGGTTTTGCACAGAATCTTCTGGCCAAGGTAGCCTGTGCTCTGGTGGGGCTGCCCTAGCCAGGAGGAAGGAGGCTCTTTTTCTGATTTATTTACTCAGAGGAAAGAGCTTGTGATTCATCCACGTAGAGGGGGTGCTTTTTCCTAATTCATTAAAAGTCTTGCGCAGAGTTAGTGCAAATACAGACCAGGAGGAGTCCTTGGATAGGTGCGATAGGACATTGGCTGGGAAATATGTAGGCCTGAGTTTAAGTCCCTTCTGCATCACTAACTGTGAGCATAGCCTTGACTTCTCTAAATCTCAATTTTCTCCTCTGAAAAATCACTTAGATTACTTCAGAGTGTCACTGTGAGCTTTAAATGAGCTAACATATGTAAAAGTCCTTTGTAAACTGTGAAGCACCATTCAGTCTTCCTTCAGTAAACAGATACTGAGCACCTGCTGTGTGCCAGGCACATTGGTAAGCCCTGCAGACACAAAGCTGAAAAAGACCCAGTCCTTGCCCTTGGGGAGCTCACAGTCAATGTGGATGGTGGATGAACCCATGGATGATAGTGCATTGTGATCCAGAACATAAAAACACTGTAGATTTGCAGAAGATTGAGGGACCCTCTTTTTTTTTTTTAATTGAGTTATTGATAGGTTACAATCTTGTGAAATTTCAATTGTACATTAATGTTTGTCAGTCATGTTGTAGGTGTACCACTTCACCCTTTGTGCCCACCCCCCACCCCACCTTTCCCCTGGTATCCACTAAACTGTTCTTGGTCCATAGTTTTAAATTGATTGAGGGACCCTCTTAATGGAAGAGCCCGGGACCCCTGGTGCACCTCATCAGAAATTTACGCCTTTAATTAGATGACTTCAGATCTACAGTACTACGTATATCGAGATAAGAAAACGGAAGACACAGTTATAGGACCACCTCTAGCACAACGTTACCTTTGTGCAAGTTAGAAAGAGAAACCCCTCTGGAGAGACAAATTGCAAACTGTGCTTGCAAACCCCCACAAAGACGATTCAGAAAGTGGCATTCTTCTGGGTGGACCAAGTCAGCCCTGGGCCAGGGCACAAGGCCCGGTGGTCAGAGGGCCAATTTGGAGCCTTCTCTTATACTCCCCTAGCAGGGGTCCACTGTACTGGGCACACCCTAATCACTAAACATGGTGGCCTGCCAGGGATAGGTTTTGGAGTTCTTGCTTTTGAAGATTATAATTACAAAAAAAAAAAAACAGAACAGAGCAGGATATAACACACGCAGCCCTATATGCATGCAGTTTAGGGGGAGGACTTAATTTTGTGAACTTGGCTTATGCAGGCAGACTGATGTACTCCTGGGAGGGACGGCAGCACTTTGCAATAACTGGGGAAGATGCTTGCCAGCTTTCCCATGTGAGCTTGAGCAGACTTGTAGAAATGTATCGGAGCCCACCAGAAACACAGAAACCACTCTGAACAGTTAGACAGGGGAAGTTTAGTGCAGGAGTTGGTCACACAGGTGACGGAATTGCTGAGAAGTCAAACAGGAGATGGTGAGCCAAACCTAATATTGACAGTGGCAGGAAGCTAACTTTACTTCTAGGCTGGAGTGACAGAGGGACGAGTTAGTGTTACTAGAACCCAGAGGCAGGATCACTCTATGGAAAGCGAAGCCGCTGCTGGCCTCGGGGCGGGGTGTGAGCTGGCACTACAGAGGGAGGAGACGAGCCGAGCCCTTGCTGGAGATGCTGCTGAAGGCAGAGAGGGAGTGGGAGAGATACCCCAGGTTCTTCTTCCCTCCATGTCTCCAGTCTCTCTCCAGTACCTCCCCTGGCCGATTTTAGATCCTCCAACCACAGGGGAACGTTGGAAACGCAGTCTGCAGGGCCAGCACCCTCCTATACAGAGGAGGCCAGGGCAGGGGAGAGGACTGACATCTGAGGGCTCACAGGCGAAGCTTGGTACAATGAGAGAGAAGAAAGTATGAGACTAAACTGAATAACCAAGAACTATACAAAGTTCTTTTCATTTTTATTTATTGTTTTATTTTATTTTTAAAGGATCTTGATTTTTTTTTTGGAAGATTGGCCCTGAGCTAATGTCTTTTACCAATATTTGTCTTTTTTTTTCCCTCCCCAAAGCCCCCCAGTACATAGTTGTGTATCCAAGTTGTAGGTTCTTCTCGTTCTTCTATGTGGGATGCTGCCTCAGCATGGCTTGATGAGCGGTGCTAGGTGCACGCCCAGGATCCGAACCAGTGAACCCTGGGCCGCTGAAGCAGAGTGCACGAACTTAACCACTCAGCCTCGGGGCCAGCCCCCAAACTTCTTTTTATAAAGTTGTTTAGAAAGAAAGAGCATAAAGGGAGAAGGGTTTAGGTTTACAGTTAAAATATATTGCTATGCAGTGATGAACAAGTCTATATATCCAAGTGCAGAGAATGGCAAATGAAATGAATATAAACATTTGAAACACGGAAATTTTCGATCAATTTCATGGAGGCTTGGTGAAATGGGCCTATATTGTATTATTAAAGTATATACATTTTCCATTGGAGAAATTTCCTCCCTTCATTTTGTAGCAGGTATCAGCCACGTGGAGAACAGCCAGGGTGAAAGATAATGACAATCTCATTCCTGCATAACTCAGATCAGCCTAATGATGAGCCACAACACAGCCCCTGCCCCTGTCTCTCCCTCTAGCTCAAGGGAAGGCGTGATCCCTGAGGTCTCTCAAAGACTGCCTATTACCCCTGGTGTAACCCCTCTGGCCTTTATTTCTCCCTGTTGCTGAGGTGAAACCAGGTTAGTCTAGTTGCGAATCTGGATGCCTAGTGCCAAAATCAATAATCCTGCTATTTGAATTCTAATGCCTTTAGAATACCCGCTTGGCTCTCTTTGATGGAGGGATCCTCTTAAGACAGTGTTGTCCAATAGAATTTTCTGTGATGGATTATCTCACTGGTTTATTCCACAAGGGGCGCAGTCTTTCCTTTGCTTTCCAAGTAATCCCAGGAATTAAGCTAATTAACCCAGACCATCAAGATAGACTGAAATTTCACTGCAGCCTCAGACTTTGCTGATAATTCTATTGTTTCTGTCCCCAGTGCCCCTAGGAAACCAGTAAATGCCAATCTTCTCTTCCTGATGAAGTCAGAGGAGACGTAAAGACTGTGGAAAGTTCCTTGGTCAACGCGAATCTAGGAAGAGAGGACCTAAGGCGGTAGTCCAGTTGTTCATGGTCATAGAGTGGTATGGGAAGGCATCTGGAAGTTTTCTTGTGTGTGTGAGGAAGATTGGCCCTGAGCTAACATCTGTTGCCAGTCTTTCTCTTTTTGCTTGAGGAAGATTGTCACTGAGCTAACGTCTGTGCCAATCTTCCTCTATTTTATGTGGGATGCTCGACAGCGTGGCTTGACAAGTGGTGCTAGGTCCTCGCCAGGGATCTGAACCTGTGAACCCTGGGCCGCCGAAGTGGAGTGCGTGAACTTAACCACTATGCCATGGGGCCAGCCCCAATCTGGAAGCTTTTTTTGTCCCTGAGAGAAGTATATATGACATCTCTCAGACGATGTCAACAAAGAATATGGCCAAAACCAAAACCAAAACGAGAAGAAAAATAACAAAACCAGGATGAAATAGTTCCCAGAGAATGTCAGTGGAAGACAGAGTTTGATAGTGGACCAGAAGCCTTCTTGCCACGTTAAATTATGGCTCTTCTTGAGGCTACCTGGACTACGTTTTCCCCCTTTGATGAAAAAATCAGAGAGGAAAATCCTAAATTGACAGAGCTTATATCTAAACTGAGAAAATAGAAAAATAACTAAAGTTACTCCCCCAGAAAACCTGAGTCACAGAATAATAATGGACTGATTCTTTTATACATATACCATGGGTGTGGTCAAGCATATTTATAGCAAAAAAAGATGAAAACAACAATAAAATAAAATCCCATCAAGAGAGAATAGGTCGTTTGTGGCATTGCTATAGAACGTGTTCCTCTACTGTGGTGAAAATAAAGGAACTACTGCTATGTGAGCTGACGTGGGAGACTTCCCAAAATATTGAGTGGAGGAAGCAAGTCATTAGAAGAATATAGATAAACATCGTAAGATAATAAACAGGCAAACTGAGTAATACTTGCTTTAGGGATACGCACAGTGATAGCAACTATAAAACTAAGTGGAAGACTAATGCAAAAATCAGGACAATAGTTACTTCTGGGAGTCCAGGAGCAGGATGGAATCAAGGGGGCTTCCATACTAATAATAATGTTCTTTTTCTTAACCTGTGTGGTGGGGACAAAGTCTTTCACTCTAGAAATGATTGTTATTAAAATAACCCATAATGTTGAGGGAATCGTATATTTACAACATGACATCATTTCTGAAGCTGAGTACCTGAGGGTTACTATAAATATTCAATAAGAACATGATTATCTTTTGACTGTGTTAGTCTCATTAATTTGCCGTTTTCTTGTTTAACATGAGGGGTGACTCATGGGTTACAAGAATTCATGAGCTTGTTTTGCAGAAGAAAAAGAATGCCTTCAAGGAAGTTATGATCACCAGATAACCAGGCCCCAACTGCCTTTGATTGCCCAAGAGCTTATCTGGAGTGAAAGAAACACAGATTTCCTCTTTGTTTCTCTGAAACTCCTGCTCCCAAGCCCCTTAGCTGTATAAAACCCTCTGCTTTCTTCTCTTGTGTGGGTGGACTTGAGAGAACCTATCTTCTGCCTTCTCCTTTTGGCCAACTGGAGTAAACCTTTCTCCATCTCCAAACACCATCTCCAAGCACCAGTGTCTCAGTGATTGGCTTACTGCGCATCAGCACATGAACTTGAGATTAAGAGGTTTGGTATCAATTTCTATAAAGTTTAAAATCATGTAGAACTACATATTGTTACTAGATTCATATTAAAAGTATAAAATGTACCCCAAATTCAGGGAAGTGGTTAATTCAGGGGAGAGCGAAGAAACAAGGATCTTGCAGCATTCACAGGGGCTTCAATTGAAGCAGTCATTTGCATTTTATATTTCTTTAGCTGAGTGGTGTTTGTTATTTTTTCATATGCCTAAAATATTTTACCAAAATGATAAAAAGCAGAAACCAATGTGGCTTCATTGGTGAATATGCAAGGAATGCAGCTTCAAAAGAGCAGATGGACCCAAGAGGAGAACACATGACAAAAGACAAATGCCAAATTTCCTCTAGGTTCATTACAACAAGGGCTAAAGATAGAAGGAGGTCGTAGCAAACCTGTATCCAGAGCAGGGAGAACAACAGGGAAGCATTAGGCCTGCTGGCTGAGAAGAACTAACGTGAACAGATGGTTGTGAGAAAGCAGAGGGTCCCTGCATTTCATTCATTCAACACATTTGTATTGACTATTTCCATTGGCTTTGTTCTGCTCATCTCCTATTTTGCGTATCTTCTTCAACACGTGGAGACCAAACTGGAAGGAACTGAAAAATTCCAAACATAATCAGTGTCAAGTAGGTAAGGAATGAAGAGACTACTTAGCATCTCACAATTTTTGTTTGTTTATTTTTGAGAGGTAGCCTAGGACAAGAGTGACGGTATGTGTTCTGGAACCAGAGTGCCTGGGTTCAAATTCCAGCTCCACTGATTTCTAGCTGAGTGTTCTTAAGCCAGCTACTTAATCCCTCTACGCCTTAATTCTGTTGTCCATAAAAATGTGAATGACTGTATCTACTCTATGGGATTATGAAGATTAAATGAATTAATGTATGTAAAGACCTCAAAACACTGCCATATAAGAGTTTCCTGTTAATTCTAGCCTCCTTAAGTTTATTCCAGTTTCCAGGGCTAAATTAATTGCCACCTTAGAAACAATGTCAGAAATTATACCAGTTGGTTACTCCAGAAGGCATGCATGGGGTCAGGTGCAGTGGGGTTGGGGCAGGGCAGGAAGATAATCAGATATGTCCAGGCAGAGGGGTACACTAGAGAGAAAAATTTGGGAGTCATTAGCACACAGATTTCAGTGGTTGATCTTAAAAACAGATGGTAACTCCCTAGATTACAGTGGATGCCTTTCATTATGAATGAAAACTCTCTCCACTGCTATTCAAGTGAGAAGTTTTATCCTGCTTCTTTGTTCCCATCTACCTTCTTCTTACGATGGCATTAGTTTGGAGTTCAGTCTTTTTTCATGTATCCCATTTTCACAATGAACGGACATTTTCACTTGAACGGACAGTGCTAGACATCAAGGAGGGAGGAGACAATGGTTTGTCATCCGGAAGGACAATAAAAGTTATTGGTAGCACACATGGACCCAGTAAGACCCTTTGGAAAAGGGATGCAAGCTTATTTGGAAAAAGAAAAAGAAAACACAAATTCCTGTGTGATTTAATTCTGATTCATAGCAAAAAACTTTACGGGCACTCAACCATCTAGTTCTTTGCTTTATTTGCTGATAATGAGGCCCAGAAAGCTTATATTTTATTACTCGGTATATTTTTTCCAGGTTTACTTATTTCAGTAACTGGAGAGCTGAAAACAGTATTTTTCAGGTATTTCTATACAGCATTTCTCATTGCTGGGATATTTTGATGTCACTGAAATGTATTTACATTCTAGACACATCTGTTACTACACTGAGGACCATTCAAAGCAATGTAAGTTGATGTCCTGCTTGGTAGGCCTTGCTAATTCTGGTCTGAGTCAGAGGTCTGTTCTTTATTATTTATGTTCTTCTTTAAGAATATGAGTAGCATTCTCCAGCCCTTAAGGCTAAGGATTGAAAGTTAAATTTGTAGAGAAAAATAATCTTTGGATAATTTTGCAGCCTGGCTAAACTTTCCATCCTATTTATTCAGTTAATATTGAGTGCCTAATTTATGCCACTCATATTGATTCTGAAGAGGCTGAATCGAATGATAGACTTTTTTGGGGGAACACTTCATTAAGGTTCTAATTTGGTTGGTTTCCTGTGTCACCATGTTCATTGTCATTGACTTTCTCCATATGCCTATTGATCCCTTGGACTGCATATGCACTTCCCCATAGTTGTCAGGCTGAGGTGGTTTTCTTCTCATAAGAAATGCCAGGTCACTGTCTGGGGAGTGTTCGACAACTTTATGGTGATTGTATTCCAAAAGCATTTTAGGCAAGGAACTGGCCTAAAAGTGGTCACTTCATCTTATTTTGCTTGGCTTATTTATCATTTGTCTTAGTCTTGAAAGCAAGAAATCTCAGTATCCATCCTGGTGTGTGGTCTCAGGTTTGGAAGGAATGGCTTGGCAGGACTTTTAGAAATCTTACGAGCTCCTTTGGATCATTTACCTACTCAACATACTGGGAAAATGGCACCGAACTCTCTCTGAAATTGCAGTTAATTTGTAAGAATAATGAAGATGAATCTACCAAGAGAGAGCATTTCACGACTCGGTGATAATTTAGCTTTTAAAAATTATGTTAAAAGAGAAATCACTAACTACAGCAATAGCAGCAATGTTTCTACCAGAACAGACATTTCTAATTAACTCCTTGGCCATTAAACCCTTCAGGCCAATCCACATGAGCAATAAAAAGGTAGTGAGAGAGGAGAATGTTTTCCTTTTTTGATTGTCAGCGTTACCAGTCATACTTTTTTCACTCTTCTGAATAGTAAACTGTGAGCTGCCGAGATCTCTAGGGAAAATTTCTAAAGTATTAAAATACTCTCTACATGGCTATTAAAATAAACATTCCATCTGCATATTATAAAATTGAGTCCAAGGAAAGTATTAGCTCTTAATATTCCTCCAGCAGTTCTTTTGTTACATTTACTTCTCATAAAGAAGACTAAATGACAGTTTCTGAGCTTGGCTTGAAAGAAGAGACATGGCTCTGATTTTCCTTCCAGAAGATGATGAGTTAGGAATGAGAACATTTATTTTCCTTTTGAATTATGTACACAGTTGCTTCTCCAAGAATACCAAAACTGAACATTTTTCATCCCTATTTTCCTTCCAATTTTAAGGCATACGTAAGTTGCCTTCCATAACTACAGATGGGTAAAGCTTTTCCTAGCATCCTTCTTGAATTCTTTGCTTGGATTAATCTTAAGCTGAATTTGAATAGGGATTCAATTTCCACATTAAATGGTGTTTAAATTACTGGAGTTGAGTATCTGCCTTCCACTACGTAGATAGGAAATATCCAGGACAGTCCTGGCTTCATGGCTGCCCAAGGCAACCTCTGAATGAGAATGCCTAAAAACAACGCCTGACTTTTGTAAATTCTTCACAGGTTGTAAGGTACGTTGACATTCTTTATATCATTGCATCTTAACAGCCCTTTGAGTTAGGCAAGGTAGGGATTAATGTCTACTCTTTATAGGATGAGGAAATTGAGGTTTGGAGGGATTAAAATAACTTTCAAATGTCACTTACAGATTAGTAGCAGAAGGAGGACTAAAGCTCATTTCCGAAGGCTTTCCAGTTTCCTCCCTCCATGAAACCACATTCGTTCTACGCCACGTTGCTCCCATGCTATAGCAGAGTTTTCAGACACCCAGAAAGATGCAGCTATAGCATAAATTAAAACAACGACAGTAGATTTGGGACTGAGAAGATGAGGGCTCAAGGTGCAACTCTCCTCCTTCCTAGTTACGTGACCTTGGACATTTTAGTGAAGTGATTCTGCTTATTTCCAAGAGGAGCGTTCTCCTCTCACAGAAAATCCCGAAAGTGTTGCACTCCAGGCTTTCACAGGCATTTCTCTGACTTTGGGGTTGGAAAATCTGGCTAATTCATCTGTACTATTCTCTTACGAAGGACTATTGATAGAAAATACTGGCAACTGTTATTAATCAAGAAAAATCACGACTTCAGTCCTGAAGAACAATTCCTGCCCAATGAATGGAATGATTCATTTTAATATTTGAAATTCTTTTGTCCCTGTAGATTGGTTATGATAACTTCATTTGATGAATCAAGAAGCACAAAGCTTTTATATATTCATAACAGTACCTTCTAAACTTTTTTGATTAATATATACTGTTAGTGTATTATTAGTGCTATACACAAAAATGGAAATTCCAAAGAATAAAGCAAAAGATATAAACAGTATTTCTCATATTTTCTTCTTTTCTTCCTCCAGGGGATCAGTTGGTTTATTTCTTGGAGTATGTGCAGCCCATGTTGGAAATTGTTGTTCTAAAGAAAGAACAAAAGATCAATAGCAGACTTATATTCATCACGAACGTATGAAATCTTGTCACATGTTTTGTGACTCATTTTCTCTTGTCCAAAACAACCCTGATTTCCAAGGGCACATGGTAAGAATTAGAGCTTTTGGATATGCTTCATTCTAAAGGGAGAATTGATACAATGAAGTAACTTTAGAAGATTAAAGGTATTACTACTAAACAATCATGAGGTACTTTCAGATGCAGCGTATAGACAAAGTTCCTATGCATGAGACTTTATGCCAACAATTGTGAGGTTCCAGAACTTTCTCTCAGGAACTGTTTCAATGACTGCTGTTTATCAACGTGAAAGAAAGTATCCAGGAGAACATGGAGAAAATTAAAACTTTGTGGAGAATGAAAGCCAGCTCAGGGATCATTTCTAACCCCATGCACAGGATATTTATAGCCTCCCTGTCTTACTTGTTCTTTACCACAGTTCTGTGAAATAGGCATTATTCCAATTTTTTGATGAGAAAAACGAAGCTCAAAGAAACTAAGTGACCTTCCTAAGACAGTCAGTGAGAGTGGCATCGGAATTCTGATCCGATCTGATCGACACTGCTGATGGTAAATATGATGCTCTCCGCTATGACAGACTGCCTCACTATCTACCATACAGCAGGAAGTGGGTCTTTTCTTGTCATTCCTGAAGTGAGAAGTGCTTCTAAAGCGAGTGTCAACCTAAATAGGTAAACTGAGGCAAGCTCAAATTACCATAAATTGAGTTTATTTGAGAAAAGCAGAGGAATTGCAATACAGCGCACGCAAACTGTAGCAAGCTACAGGTGAGTCCGTCGAGGGTTTGAGGCAGGCTGTATTTATGGGCAACGAGCGCAGAGAAGGGGGATTTTAGCTAGAGTCCAAGCAGCAAGTTCATTGGCTTGAGGATGGCGAGAGGTTCTTAGTGAATATTCATTGGTTGAGGGATGAGTGTAGGTTTTCTGTAAATCAGGCATTTAAGGGAAATCGATCTCTCACTCCTTTAGTTTCGTTTTCCTGAGGACGCATGCGTGAGATTCTCCATTCGTATCCTCCGGTTACATTTTAGATTGAAATCCTTCCACATGAGTAAGCAGATATTACTTTCCTGCAAAGGATTGAGACCAGCGGCATGGCTAAGAATCGTGGAAACAGTGGGAAAGACCAATTCAAGGCAAAGCAAATTAGCAAAAGATGCAGGTAAAAAAGTATGGAGGACTCAGCAAAAAGCTTGCATAAAGGTAGGAAATATTAATCATCTTTTGGTAAGACATATTAAGCATTGTTTTCTACAAAGCATGTTTTTACAAAACGTTACAAAACCCGCTCTGGTAATAGCAAATATGAATTGCTTGCTATCTACCAGGCACAGTTTTAATGTGTTCAGTATATAGCCTGTTTCTATTTGTATGCTTAGAAAATAGCCATAGTTTTGCATGCATCTTTCCCCAAATATTTTATTGTGAAAAAATTTCAAAATACGGAAAAGTTGGAAGAATTGTACAGTGAACACCATCTAGATTTTACAAATAACATTTCGCTATGTTTACTTTATCATATATCCATTCATTTTTCATCCCTCTATCCATTCATCATCCATCTTAACTTCTAGAAGCATTTCAAAGTAAGTCACAGACATCAGTGCCCTTTACTTCCCAACACTTCAGTATGCATATCATTAATTAGATTTCAATATTTGTTTACAGCTCTTTTAGTTAAAAAAAAGAAGTATTGTAAAGTATGTATACTGAGAAATGACCAACTTTTGAGTGTAGCATTTATTGAGTTTTGACGATTTACATATGTATCGTTACTTTACATGACTGTTAGTGTGTTTTAAGGTTTTTTCTGTTTTTTTTTTTTTTAGGATGCATCTCTGTGGCCGTGGTACACCTAGTCAGTTGCTGACCATGCACTTTTCAGGGTAGTTGTGACTATCAGAAATAATCCATTTAAAATAGTAGAGGGCCCTTCTGAGGCACTATATGATTTTGAGCTTTCGTTTTTCATTCATTTCACATTTAATAAATAGCTACTCAGTGTCTACAGTATGGCGGCTGTTGGGTTCATTGTGGTGGTCCCTTTTCTGCCATCTCTACTCACGGTCTTTTGGGGAGATGGTCATTCAACTGTAACTCTTTTTCAAGAGTAAGTTGTGTCTTGTCACACTGAAGTTCCTTAAATATCTAAAAGGAACATTTAAAGTGGGTTGAATGGTTAGAATTAAACATAAATTTGGAAACCTGCCTGTGGAAGTAAGTGTTAGCCTGATGTTTAAGGGAGAGAATCAAAGAGCTAAGGCTATTTAACACCTACTATGTGCTAGCTATGGTACTGAGCATCTTACAAGCATTATTTCCTTTAATTATTCCAATAACCCTACGAGATAGGTTCTGTTTCCCTCATTTTATAGATGAGAAAGACTAAAGTCAGATTGTTTAATAAATTGCCCAAGGGTGTATAGAGGAAAGAGAAGAGTAGAATTTGGATTTATATCCGTCTCTCTCCAGAGCCTGCACCGTTAACATTTGTTATGTTGAGAATCAGAGGAGAAAAAGAGCTCCAGTGCGTTGTGAATATTTTGACCTAATAGGTCAAGGTAGATTGTCATTTTTGATTCTGTGGAAATTCTCTTGTTCCAGTGCCCTTACAGATTGACAAAACCACATGACAAATACCCCGTGGACATTGCTGCTTCCTCTGCACTTTGTATGGAGGTTCATATTAACCTCATTATCCAGTTATTTGTATTTTCTGGGCCCTGATGTTCTAGCATATTCAGATGGGAAAGGCTAAGAGAACTAAAATGGTGGGTGCCCTCTTCAGTTTCTGAAGAGGGTAGGTTAGAATGGGGAGGTGGGAAAAAGGCTGGTAATAGGTCATCTGAGGAGGAGGGAGTTTAGCAGTTAGTGGGATATAGGCGCAGGCGTAGCTGTCTGTGGAATTCCCTCCAGCGGCTTTTAATGGGGACGGGTCATCCTCATTAGACACTTGGAAACATATGAGGGCTTTTCCATTGTCAGTGACTTGGACCGCTATGAAATTTGATGCCCAGGGTCAGAAATGATAAACATACTACAATGCTCAAGTCAGGCTTACACAGAGTAGAATGGTCTTTCCTCAAATGCCAATTCTACCCATGTTGGAATATGCTGTGGGCTAGGCCTTCTGACCTCAAAGACACTCTGGTGGCCAATGGTTGAGGAATGAGGAAAAAGCACAAGGAAGGCTTGAAAAGATTTTGGGAGGAACCAGAAGTATCTTTAATATGTTTTATTCATGTGGTCACAGTGCTTCTGTGTGTGTGTGTGAGAGAGAGAGATCTTTTTTTTTTGAGGAGGAGGATTAGCCCTGAGCTAATGTCCGCTGCCAATCCTCCTCTTTTTTTGCTGAGGAAGACTGGCCCTGAGCTAACATCCATGCCCACCTTCCTCTGCTTTCTATATGGGACACCTGCCACAGCATGGCTTGCCGAGTGATGCCATGTCCACACCTGGGATCTGAACCGGAGAACCCCAGAGCGCCAAAGTGGAACATGCACACTTAACTGCTGTGCCACCGGGCTGGCCCAGAGAGAGAGATCTTGAAGGGTCTTGGTTATATTGAGAAAATTATTGAATTCCCTTATACATGTTGACATTGATGTGACCTGCTAATGGTTTAAAAATCAGTTATGATGAATTGTTCTTTTAATGTACTGCCAGAATTTATTTGATATCATTTAAAAATGTTTGCATCCTTATTCATAAATGAAATTTGCCAATAGCTTTTTTGAACTATATTTATTATATTATGTTAATAAGAATATGATAATACATTAAATAAAATGAATTTTCTGGTTGAGAATGGATAAAATAGGAATTATTTGTACTTTAAAAGTTAGATATAATTCAGCTGTTATATTACCTGGGCCTGGTGTCTTTTTAGAAATGGTAGAGCTTTATTTCACTTTCCAGTGTCTTCTATGATTATTAATCTGTTCAAGCTTTCTACCTTCTACTTGGTCAAACATAGTAGTTTTTATTCTGGTAGAAAACCTACCATTTTCTCTAAATTTTCAAATTTCTCACTATCTTAGCTTGGGGTCCCTAGACAGCAGGGGCTGAATCAAGGCTTGAGTGCTAATGTTTTATTGGGAAGCACAATCCTGGGACAGTGAGAGAGGGAAAAAGGAGACAGGGAAGGATGGCAGGCAAATGCAAGTTGGCGTGTTATCCAGCTGCCCACTGCTTGCCGAAGGGTGAAGAGTATGACACTCATTCAGACAGGCTGTACAGAAACTATGTGTTGGAGTCATCTGTTAGAAGGAAGAGGGAGTTGTATTTATCTGCCAGCTCCCTCCCATCGCCTTTCCCTCATTGGTCAATGTTTGTCCCATGGAGCGTTCACTCCCTGCCCTTCCAGATTGCATCCCCTGGCCTCCTTGGTGGCTGCTGCAGAAGCCAGATCCCTCCTCTGTGGAATGCCAATATTTTGGAGTCCCCGTTGAAGTCCAGAAGGGGTAGGAGGAATCAGAGCTACGTGGATGTGATTGAGTTGTGCTGAGGTGATCAGAGCTTCTGGGGCTCCTGGCGTGATGGGAAGGGTGAGGGAGGCCATCTTTCCAGAGTCTGGTACTCACCTCAGGAGAGAACGAGATAATCAGAGATTCCTGCAGTTGAAGGGGTGATGGCAGAAGTGGCAGGCGGTGGTTGAGTCCTCCAGGAGACAGGTGCTGTTTTGAGAATCTGAGGTGGTGCGTAAAATGTGTCTGAAACAATTTCCATAGATTGGCATACATTTTCTTTTATGATTTTTAAATCACTTAAAAATCTGTGATTTCATCAGTATTAAAAATAAATAAGAAATATCTGTGGTTCTCACCTTTTTTTATCTTAAAGATGTATATTTTTGCTTTTTCTCTTTTTCCATTAATCTAATTTGCCAGGGATTTTATTTTTAAAGATTTTATTTTTTTCCTTTCTTTCCCCAAAGCCCCCAGGTACATAGCCGTACATTCTCAGTTGTGTGTCCTTCTAGTTGTGGCATGTGGGACGCCGCCTCAGTGTGGTTGATGAGTGGTGCCATGTCCATGCCCAGGATTTGAACCGACAAAACACTGGGCCGCCTGCAGTGGAGCGCGCGAACTTAACCACTCGGCCACGGACCGGCCCATTTGCCAGGGATTTTTAACGTTTTTAAAAAATTTTTTAAAAACCAGCTGTCTGTTTTACATATTCTTTATTATTACTGCTTTCTGATCAAAATTTAAATTTTATCTTTAATAATTCCCTCCTTTATTTTAGTTTAGTTTTTTTTGATATTTTTAACTTTTTACATTTAGAACTTATTTTATTTTTAATATTAGCAAATATTAAGGCATTTATGGTATAATTTTGGATTTAAGTATAGCTTTACCTGTGGCCCATGGGTTTGGTATCAAGTAGCCTCCTCTTTGTTACTTTTGAGACAATTTACAATTATAGTTTTGAAATTAACAGGGTCCTTTTGGAGTAACAATTTCTGACTCAAGGAGTGGCACCTTGCAGTTTCTTAAGGAAGATTTGGGTGTATTTGTACGTCTTTCTGAGACTCTTGAACCAAACTTTCCCCTTAGAATCATTCTAAAGATAATTTATAATAATGATAATTTTAAAAAAGTAATTGACATAACCCCAATCTGGTTCTGGGTCTATATACATAGCAAGTCAATTTGGCACTGACCTTCTTTGGGGAAACCATCACTTGTGTTGTCTCCTGTGTTCAGGACAATTGATCTCAGTATTCTAATCTCACAGCTGTTTTCACCCTGTAGATGTTTTGACCTTGTATACACGAGACATAATTGGGGACAGATAAATAAGTTGTATACGATAATTTTAGCTTGTTATTCTTGTCTCTCCAGATCTTTGTATTTTCTTTTCATTCCATTGTCTAATCTGGTATGTGAGCCTCATTTAGCATAGGCCACTATTGAATCGAGGTTTGAGTTAAGCAACCAAGAATACAGTTGGAAGCAATCTGGGTTGCCTAGAACTGGTATGTTGGATCCAGCACTTTTGGCATTTGTTTCCATATTCAAAACTTTAGTAAATCTAAAATTATGTTCTTCTCCCTCTGATCTAGCATTTTCAGAATCCATTTTCACATTTATTCTCCAGATTTCTGCTGATAGAAATTAGCCAGTTCTTGTAATTTTTCTCATTGTGTACTCCATGGGTTGACTTTGTAGTTTTCCTCAAAGGGCATGCTGGCATCTGTT